TGACCACAGGGGGCCCCGTCACGGAGGTCCATGCCGCCCCTCCCATCACGAACCTGTGGGATCGAGGTGGGCAGGACCACCTTCTAGGGCAGTGATGGTGAACCTTTTGAGCTCGGCGTGTCAGCATTTTGAAAAACCCTAACTTAACTCTGGTGCCGTGTCACATATAGAAATTTTTTGATATTTGCAACCATAGTAAAACAAAGGCATACTTTTGATAGTTATTTTATATATTTAAATGCCATTTAACAAAGAAAAATCAACCAAAAAAATGAGTTCACATGTCACCTCTGACACGCGTGTCATAGGTTCTCCATCACTGTGCTAGAGCCCAGCCCGTCTGGGTGGTGCAGAGAAAACCTGGGCTTCGGCATGGCCCTGGCTTTGCCCGTTTCTAACTGTGTGGCCTTGGGCAAATGACGTTATCTTTGGAGCCTCAGTCTCCACATCTGTGAAATGGCAGTGGGCCTGCCACCCTCCAAGGCCTGCTGTGAAGAGGGAATGAAATCGTGCACCCAAAATGCTGAGCAGGGTGCTGGCCTCATTGTCTGAGCCGTTCCGTGGTAGCTGTTGTTAATAATAATACCGCCCCTAGCCAAGCAGCCAGGCCTCAGCAGTTAGCACCTATTCTGTGGGCCCCGACGTGCTGGCCGCTTTCCGAGAGGGAGGGCGCACGCCAGAGAACAAACACCCACTTCCTGCCGGGTTCTGTTCCGGTTCATTTTCAGCCCCAGCGGGCGGGCGGGCTTCCTCAGCCTGGGCCCCAGGGCCGGAGGCACGGCCTCCCCTGGAGGGGACCATCCCAGCGGCTCCGCTCTGCTCCCTTCGCCCTCGGCGCCAGCACCAGCATTCCCGGTTCCCTGCGTGGCCATGAGCCTGGCATCCCAGCCACACCAGACTTTTCCATCAGCTTCTGACCTGCCCTTTCCCCTTCTGGTCCCTGTCCCCTTGGCAGACGGACCGGGCCAGGCAGCCTCGGTCTCGACCTCATTCTTCCCGATCATTGTGTTCTGGGCAGGAACTCGGACTCCGAGACCACCCACTTGCTCACTTACTGTCTCCCTCAGGGCCCCGGGGAGGCCTGGTTCCTTGCTCGTGTGCCCGTGTTCCCTCCCCACTCAGGGGGCTGTTCTCGGGGGCAAGCCCAGGAGTGAACTGCTGTCCCCACCGGGGCAGGGCACAGGCTGGCCCGGAGGGGGGCGGAGACGGGGGGGGGGGGGGGGGCTGGGGACGTGCGGATGTTACTCCCGCCTGACAGTGGAGCCCACCTTGTCGGCTCCACTCTGCACTGTGACCTTGAGCAAGTTCCTTAATCTCTCCAAGCCTCCATTCATGCACCTGCAAAACGATGCAAACAACAGTACACACCCCGCAGGCCCGCTGTGCGGATTAGCTGGGGTTTTGAGTACAAACAGTTAGAAACGGTACCTGCTACTGCTCGTTTTGCCTGATTATCATTATTGAAGTGATGGCTTGTTGTTTTTCTATTCACTTCGTTCTCGGTACAAGCCCGCAGGGTACTGGAGCAGCTCTGGGTTCTATGCTCCCGGCGAGCCGACGAACACCCAGAAAGGCTGTTCCCGCACTCACGCAGCCAGACCTGACCGGCCCCCCTGGCTGGCAAGGCCCGCGGCGGCCAGGCCGTTTGGGACCATGACAGGCCCGAGGCCGCGGAGGAGAGAGGCCTGTAATGTAAAGTGCAGCCGTGTATCCAGCCGGGCCGTGTGAACAGCTATTCAGATGATCCATTTTCGCTCGGAGGGAAAAGCGGTGGTTTATTAAGCAGTCTGGCTGGGGCGAGGGGGAGTTTAGTTTCTAGACCAGCCGTGGGCAAACTACGGCCCGCGGGCCGGATCCGGCCCTTTTGAAATGAATAAAACTAAAAAAAAAAAAGACCGTACCCTTTTATGTAATGATGTTTACTTTGAATTTATATTAGTTCACACACACACTCCATCCATGCTTTTGTTCCGGCCCTCCGGTCCAGTTTAAGAACCCATTGTGGCCCTCGAGTCAAAAAGTTTGCCCACCCCTGGTCTAGACCCTGCTCCATCCCAGGAGTAAACGAGGTTGGAGAACTCTCTCCTGGGAGGGACTGCATGGTACTGCCCGGCAGGAACGGGCGTTGCATTGCCTGAGGGGCTGTGCACGGGCGGAGGCTGGAGAGGGCAGAGAAGGAATAATTGCGGATGCAGACCAGAAGGGAGAGGGGACTGGGTTTTTTTTGGGTTTTTTTTACTGGAATTTGTCCTAATCTTCTGTGCACCAGCTGCACGGTTTCCTTGCCTTCGAGTCTCCGGGTTGAAGTCCGGGTCGGAGCACTGAGCCAGGGGCCACACCCTGGAGCCACCAGCCGTGCCACCCCTGAGCCCGCCTCTCTGGGCCTCGGTTTCCCCTTGGTGACCCTGGAGAGTCACGGGACCTTTCTGGGCCTCCCTGGAAGTGGGGTTTATGTTGGATTCGTCTTCCTTGGAGGGCTGTGTGTGTAAGCACACTTCACCTGTTTTGAAGAGTTTCGTTCTGATTGGAAGTTCTCGTGGAAGAGTCGGGAAATGGGGGAATATAGGAAAACCCGGGACGTGGCGAGCGTGGCAGGCCGTGGCAGGCGTGGCGCAGAGCTGCCACGTGGCGTTTAGAAAAGTTTTCAGGGCCCTTGGGATAAAGCAAAAGGTGAGGAGAGTCTAAGTAGCTGATGAGACTGCTCCTGGGACCAGCAGGGGAGGTCGTGGGACAATGACCTTCCCTGTGAGTTCAGCGCCCCAGGGCCCTGCGAGGGGAGCTGAGAAACTGAGGTGGGGATTGGGGGGTGCACTTGGGTGCACCCTATCTTTAAGAGTCCCATGGTTGTAAGTTCACCAGTTGGGGTAATGCAATTGCCAACTACATATATATTTTTAATATTGTTTTTATTGATTTCAGAGAGCAAGGGAGAGGGAGAGAGAGATAGAAACATCAGAGGAGAGAGAATCATGGATCGGCTGCCTCCTGCACACCCCACAAAGGGGATTAAGCCAGCAACCTGGGCATGCGCCCTGACCGTGCACCGAACCGTGACCTCCTGGGTCATAGGTCGATGCCCAGCCACTGAGCTGTGCCTGCTGGGTGCCGACTGTCTTTCTAAAAGCCAGGAAGGCCAATGACAGAATTGCTCCAGGTTGATGTTTTGCTCCAAGGCTCTAACCAAAGGCCACAGGTGGCCCCCGGTACCAGGCTGTGGAGTCGGACACCTGAGGCTCCCGTTGGGAGGGAGCGGGGCTCTGTGTATAATTTAACCGACAGGTTTCCCCTTGAGGCCTTATGCTGCGTCCCTACACGTGTGTCTGTGCATGGGGGCTTGGCTGTTATCATGGTTACCAGTAATTATCAGTTATCAGCTACAGGCTCCTGCTAGTGGGAAATCAGCCACATCCTAGTGATACTCAGAGAGTTACCGGCTTCACTCATTCATTCAGCCACTCATGTGTCATTGTCTCCCGTACCCACAGGGGGTTTGGGGTGGGCACATCTAGTGATAAGTAGAATACTGCCCCCCTCCGCCCACACTGAAGACACTCAGTCTAGTAAGAGTATAGACAAAAGACTGAGGTGATGTCTGACACCTAGTAAGTTCTCGGTAAATGAAGGAATGAAGGGATAGACAAATGAGATAAGGAAATGAATAAAGGAAGTTACACGTACCCCAGGTGGCAAGGTCCCTAACCCAGCTTGGAAGTGGAAGGCGGGTCTCAGAGATTCATCTTGGGGGTGTGACACATGGATTCTTTTGTTGAGTTGAGCCCAGACCCACAGGGCAGAGCCCAGCCCCTCAGAGGTGAGCCTCAGGCCCTAAGGGCCAGCCCAGTGCCCAGGGGCGGGACCTAGGTCCCAGCCTCCCACTCTGTTAAGGGAAGTTTGACTTCATTTGATTACGTATAGTAGAGAGGTAGGCTCCACTCTCAAGAGCTGAACCTCGCCCGGAAGAGCCGAGCGTGGCCCCCGAAAGCCAGCTACCCCCAAAGAGCTGAGCCTGCGACCTCTCATTGGGGAAATAGTAATGGACTCTATTGGGGGTACACCCCACAAAGGGGATTAAGCCAGCAACCCGGGCAGGAGGTGCGCTGTGGGTGGCGGTGGGGGCAGACACACTCCTGCCCCCGGGGGACGGATGCTCTATAGCAGCGGTTCTCCACCTTCCTAATGCCGCGACCCTTTCATACAGTTCCTCATGTTGTGACCCCCAACCATAAAATTATTTTCGTTGCTACTTCATAACTGTAATTTTGCTACTGTTATGAATCATCATGTAAATATCTGATATGCAGGATGTGTTTTCATTGTGACACATTGAACATAATTAAAGCATAGTGATTAATCACAAAAACAATATGTAATTATGTATGTGTTTTCCGATGGTCTTAGGCGACCCCTGTGAAAGGGTCGTTCGACCCCCAAAGGGGTCGCGACCCACAGGTTGAGAACCGCTGCTCTATAGGAACACGGGGGATTCTGGGAGCGTGTGGTGGCCATGCCTCGCCTTGTCTGAGTGGTCAGCAAGGCTGTCCCTGGGGAGTGCGATGGATGCTGAAATCAAGGACTGAGCAGAGGCACAGGGGCAGGGGATGGGGTGGCCTGTGAAGGGAAGAGGAGGGCTGGGTGACAGTTTAGGAGGAGCCTCTGGATGCTGCTCAGAGCGGGGCTGGCATGGGAGGAGGCAGCATTGGCAAGCCAGGTTAGTGAGCTCCCCCCCCCCCTTCATTCTTCTTTCAAACAGCAGGGACGGAGAAGAGACCCGTTCCCCCAGCTCTCCTTCCCCGGACACGCAGCCCTAACTGCTCCGCCCCGGCCGCTGTGTGTATCTTTTATGTAAACACCCGCCCCCACCAGTGAGCCCTAAATAGAATCTGTTTATAGTGAACACCAGTTGCCTTGAGACAAATCTGGGCTCAGTCTGTAGCTAAGTCCTGGTGATTTTACTTCTAAAATAGCTCTGAGTCTCTCACTCCTCCGTTTGCCTGCAGCCCTGTCGGCGTTCCGGTCCTCACCATCTCTTGACCATCGCCCACACCGGCTGACCTTTCTTTCTAACCTGCCAGCACCGTACAGGTAACTTGAGGGTTGTATCAGTTAGTTTCCTCTACGTAACAAAGAGCCCCAAACCTGAGTGCCTTAAACAACAAGCATTTGTTATTTCTCCTGAGTCTGTGGGTTGACTGGGCATTTCTTCGTTTCCGTTAGACAACTGTGGGGGCTCAGCTGGGATGCCTGGGGCCTCTGTCTGTGTGATTTCTCACCCTCCCGGGGCGGGGGCGGGGTGAGCTCAGGGTGTTAATGTGGCAGAAGCGTGGTTCATTCCCAGCAGCGAGACAGGAAGTTCTGAGCATGTGCACTTTCTAAGCCTTTATTCGGGTCCCATTTGCTATTGGCCCAGAGTCAACGGATGGAGAAATCAACTCCACGGCAAAGGGGTGTGCGTAGGAGGTGTGGTGAGCAAGTCGGGGCCTTACCGCCGTCTCCCGTCCCAGCGGCTAAGAGGAGGACTTGAGCCCGGAGGAGGAATGGGGTGTTCCATTGTGGGTCCTGGACCACCGACTGCCTTTGTCATGCTGGGCAGGTTGACTCGCCTGCGCTGTCTGGGCCGCAGCTGCCCGGTCGTCACCGGGGAATGATCCGAGTGGCCCTGGCTGATTTCCTGAGGGATCGGACAGGAGGGCCGGGGCTGCACACGTCTCAGCGTTTGGGCCGCGGTCAGAGCTCAGCTGGGCGTCCGTTCTGACCCTAGAGACGGTCTTCCAAAGCCGCTTCCCGTCTGGCCTCAGCGGGGTCAGTGCTGACCCAGATATCATCCTTTTTCACATCTTTTTCTCTCTTTTTTTTTGACATTTTAAATATATTTTTTATTGATTCCAGAGAGGATGGAAGAGGGAGAGAGAGATAGAAACATCAATGCTGAGAGAGAATCATGGATTGGCTGCCTCCTGCACGCCCCACACTGGGGATCAAGCCCACAACCCGGGCATGTGCCCTTGACCGGGAATCCAACCGTGACCTCCAGGTTCATAAGTCGACGCTCAACCACTGAGCCGCGCCGGCCGGGCTTTCACACCTTCCTTTATCCTCGCTCCTTGGAGACACTTTCCCAGACTTTTCTTTCTGCCAAACAGCATCTCCCTGGCACTTTGATGGAGAAGCAGGTAGAATACTAACTCCTGTTCAGGTTCTTCTTTGACCAAGTTGGTCTTTTTTTCTTCAGTTCTCCGGCATGTCACTCCCAGCCCTGTGACCCAGTGGCCCCCAGGGACTTGTCTACTTGCCTGTTTTCTTTTCTTTTTTTTTCTTCTTTTTTTTATTAGTTTCAGAGAGAGGAAGGGAGAATCATTGATCGGCTGCCTCCTGCATGCCCCACACTGGGTGAGGAATGAGCCCACAGCCTGGGCATGTGCCCTGACCGGGAATTGAACCGTGACCTCCAGGTGCATGGGTTGATGCTCAACCCCTGAGCCACACCAGCCAGGCTCCTTGTCTGCCTTCTTCACCTGGCTGAGCCCTTTGAGGGCATCGGTTATGATTCACTCACCGCTCTGCCTCTGGCACTGGGTCTGTGGGTGGGAAAAGACAGGTGTTTACTTAGGAAATGCTTGATGTCTGAGTCCTGGGCAAGCGGGGAAGTGGGTGAATGCCTGTTTCCCTGACTCACCTTCAAAAGGCAGTGGGCGCACGGAGCGTCCAAACTCACTCACACTTTCTCTTCTCTCCGTCCAGCGGGTCCCACCTTCAGACTCAGCATTTCTGACCCGGAAATGCCAACAGGACTCACTGGCATCGCCAGGGGCTGCGGTGGCCGGACGCTCTGAGCCTGTGGCCAGGACCGTTCCGTCGGAGGACCAGAGATGGGCAGCCCCTCCACCGACTGAGGTACATGTCAACGTAAGAAACGGTCCCACCTGTAGAGAGTTTTTGTGAGTTGATTTGAGCCAAACTGAGGACTCTTCCCCAGAAGCAAAACCTCACCGGATTGAGCGAATGCTCCGGAGAATGGCAGTTCTGCACCTGTTTCATACATTACAGTCCAAAGAGGAGATGTCAGTGGGTGACACGGACTCCATTGCTGATAGGTTAGGGAGGCGGGAGAAAGCAACGGGGGGGACTTCTGGGATTGGGTAAAAAGTAAAATGATGGACACATGCATCTTTTACTTACACGGGGGGGCGGGGGGTGCAGGAAGTTAGCAGTCAACAGTGAACATGCTAACCATGAGCGGGTCTGTGGTCTCCGGAGAGCAGAGCCGGTGCTGGGAGGGGCTGGGAAAAGGGAAATGACTTTGTCTTGGCCAAGGCGTGTTATCGGGTGTGTTATCCTCGAGGCAAAAAGACCACAGACCGGCTCAGTCCATGTGGAGATGGACCTTGGTAGGGAAAACACTGCCTTAGGACAGGACTACGCCACAAACCGCTTTTAGTCAGAAAGTTTACGTTTCAGACCATCCTAGGCGGGTACTTGCAGCCTCTGAGGTTGCCAGGCCGCCACGCAGGCCTCCCCGAGCTTGTCAGGCTGGGTATGTGGCCCCGTTTCGTGCACATAAATGACTCACGAACCTTCCCCGCAGGGGTGAGCGGTGTTATCTTTCTGGTTTCTGGTCTTGCTAGTGGGGGCAGGGACGTGTCCCCTTTGCGTGGTCTCTTGGTAACTTGGCTTGTTCTCGTGGGATAGTTCCTAAGGGGGGAATTCCTTCTCCCTCGGGGAGAAACGCAGGCCTCTCTTTCCTAAAGGGAAAGGGAGCTGTCATGAAAACTGGTGAGCAGTAGCCTGCATGGGACATCCTCCGTGACAAGCGCCCGCCATGCAGGAGGCCTGAATGCCCCCTGGGTGAGTCCTGGAGGGAGAGTCAGCAAACCGCTGTGACGTGGACATTTTTTGTAAAAAAAGTTTAATTGGCGCCCAGCTGCGCTCAGCGGTTCAGGCATGGCTGTGGCATGTCTGTCACCTGGCAGTTGCCACTGAGACCGTGTGGGCGCAAAGCCTGGAATGTTCAGTCTGGTCCCAGCGGAAGATATGTGTGTGTGTGTGTATGTGTGTGTGTGTGTGTGTGTGATCTATTCTACATGATTATTGGTGAGGACATCTATCTATATCCCTCCCTCCCTATCTATCTATCTATAAAAATGGAATTACTTTTAAGATCTCTTTGGGCAGCTGACTTGTGGTCTCTGTATGTGAGTCCATGCAGAAACCAAGCCACTAGGGCCTTGGGATTTACTAGTTTTATATACGCAACCAGGTAGGTAAGATGTGAGCTTAAGCCCGTCCCAGTCCCAGGCAGACGAGGCATGTGGGGCCCCCACAATGGCCGCAGGGTCCCAGGAGGCTGAAGAGAGAGGCAAGAAGGTAAGAAAGGAGGAGGGGGAGAGAATGAGCTAAAGATACGTCGTCTGGAAGTCCCGGAAGAGTGTGGAATGGTGGGGTGAGAGGTGTAGGGATGGGATGGGGGTTTACTTTGGGTGAACCCCGAGCATAGTAAGGATGACACCTCAGAACTGGGTGAGCACAGGCGCTCTGTCCAGCACAGGCCTTACCTGGAACACATTGTGTCCCCAGCTCCCAGCTCCCAGGGGAGATGCAGAATTCGTATTGATGAATGCTAGCTTCATGCATCAACAAAGATTCTGAGCTCCTTCTATGTACCAGGCACTGTTCTAGGCAGACGAGACCCTGAGCATTCACAACCTAGCAAGGAGTGGGGGAGGGGAGAGGCTGAGGGACAAAATAGATATGAATGTCAGGGCTGGGCAGGCAGGGGTAGGGGGGGCAGCTTAGGTGTGATGGTCCTGGAGGTGTTCCTGGGACTCAATCCTGTGCTGAAAAGAGATCAACAGTGAGGGGGAAGGTATAGGGGGGTTGCTGCTCAAAGGACAGGCGGGATGCCTGGCCCCCTCTGCCTGGAGACCAGGCCTGTCCAGGCCTGTTTTGTCCCCGAACACCCTTCCAGGCTTGAACACTCTCCCTAACACTGGGACGTTTCCTCCCCCAGTGGCTGCTATCAACTAGCCCTGAAGCAGACGGGACCCAGGCATTCCGATGAGATAAGAGGAGTCCTGACAGTTTAGATAGAGGGGCCCCAGTGGGAGCTGGTGGAATTTCCGCAGCTGATAACCTTTCAGAAAAGGGCCGCAGGGTCGAGAGCAGGGTCGTTTCTCTGGAAGAGAGGAGACGGGGAGACGGCAGTTCAGGCTGTTCTTCCTTCTTTCCCATTCATTCATTCATTCACTCACTCACTCACTCAGCAAACACTCCCAGGTCCCTGGCACCAGGCCACGCACTGGAGGTGAAACAGGATAAGACAGAGCTATGTCCTCAAGATGTTAGTAATTCAGTGGTGAGGCAGTCACATGAACGAGGTGGTTGTACGCACAGACGCAGTACTGGGTTCGGTGAGGGCTGCTACTAATGCCAACTTTGTTCTCTTGATGAAATGGGGCCGGTCCCACCCACCAGGGGCGGTGGGGCCCCAGTTGTAGAGGGTTCATGAGAGTGGGCCCCGGAGTGAACAAGCCTGGCGGGCCTCCCGGCCGCCTCTCTGCAGCTCTCGGAGCTGGGCAGGTATTTCGTGGCTGCGTGACTGGTTCCCCATCAGTGACGGAGAAAGGAGACGATCATAGCACCCACCTGCCAGGGTTCGTCAGGATTAAATGAGACGATGACTCAAAAAGCTGGGCACCGTGCCTGGCACATAGTAAACGCTCGCTAAATATAGACACGACACCACTAGTAGTATTTATAGCCGAGCCACACTCTGGGGGGACGGGGGTGGGCTGTGAGGGTGGGAATAAGGCACCCCCAACTGCCAGATGGGAGAACGTGTCTGCCTACAGCAGCGGATTTCAACCTTTTACATCTCATGGCACATATAGACTAATGACTACAATTCTGCCTCCCCACCACCACACACACACAATTAATTAATTTAAAAATGTATAAAAAGGAATTAAAAACATTTCTGCCACACATAGAAACATATTCTACTTTTGCCAATCTGACCCCTCCAAAAAGGTATAGTTTTGATTTATTTGCACCGATGGCTATTGTTGTGCTGTCTGTGGTCATTTCCTTACCTGACAACCTAAGGGAAAGGCTCAGGGCCCCTGACTAGTGGGAATTGCGTGGGAAGTCGCTGGCCTCCAGGGGCGGGTGGACGTCACGGTTATCTGGCGGCCGGACCCAGAGGCCTTGGCAGTGCCAGTGTCCCAGGCACAGGGGGCTGCCAGGGGCATGGAAATTTCCAGGTGCCTCCACAAGCCAAACTTATCGATTGAATCACCCTCGAGACACTGGTTTTCATCCGGTCACGCCTGGCTGATGGACAGCTGGCTTTTAGCAGTGATCTTTGTTCCCCAAGGGCGCCCAGCTGTGTCTGTCCGCCTTTCAGGGTTATGTCACCGATGGCCCTGGGGCAGGGTCCAGATCCCATAGCAGGAGGGACGAGGCTGACCATGACCTGGGCCTCACCAAGATCCCCACCCCGCCTCACCTCACCTTCTGTGAATCCCAGAGTAATTTTAAGAGTAATTTTACAAGCGCAGACTCTGAAGACAGATGGCCCAAGTTCAAATCCCACTCCTGTGCCCTCTTGGGCAAGCGCCTCAGCTCTCTTCATCTGCAAAATGGACACAAGAGATGGCGATAGCACCAGCCGCATGGGATTAACCTGTTAATATACGTGGGAACGCTTAGCGACCCCGACGGCGAGTGTGTTATGTACAGCATCCTCTAGGGGTGCCCGGCACTCACCTGGGCCCGGGCCGGATGACTGAGTCAGCCTCACCCACTCCCCCCTTCCCGACATTCCCCGGCCAGAGTCTGTGTTGAGGCCAGACCAGCCCTCGTGGTTCTTACTGTGATTGTAGCTGCACCTCAGAAATAGCCACCAGGGAACTTTGGGGACTAAACCCCCCCAAACCAAGGTTTATTCCTCACACAGATCCTGGAGGGGTGCACAGCACTCCCTGGGTCACACAGTTGGCGGGGGGAGAGAGAGAGAAAGAGAGAGGGGGGGGAAGTGAGAGAGGGAAAGTGAGAGAGGGAGAGGGAGGCTGGCACACTGGCTGGGGTTCTGCCCCTGTAGGGGTGGAGGTGGGGTGCCTCGTTTCCCTTCGCTGGAGCATGTGAAACATAAGAGGGGAACTAGGGCACGGGGTGGGCGAAGCGGGGTCACTCTGATGGCCACTTAGCCAAGGCTCTCTAAAGGGGGACCTTCCTGGCTGGGCGGCCCGGCTGCCACCAGCTGTGCAGCCGGCAGTGTGTTCACTCCAGGTGGGTGTCCTTAGGAGGCTGCCTGCCCGTCTCTGGTGCTCAGCATGTTGCCTGGCATTCACCTGTCAGATTCCTGCAGGACATGCTAAATCCCAGGACATGTGCAATTCTGCGGGACATGCTCAATCCCACAGGACATGCTCAATTCCATAGGACATGCTACATTCCACAAGACATGCTACATTCCACAGGACATGCTACATTCCACAGGACATGCTCAATCCCACAGGACATTCTCAATTCCATAGGACATGCTACATTCCACAAGACATGCTACATTCCACAGGACATGCTACATTCCACAGGACATGCTCAATCCCACAGGACATTCTCAATTCCATAGGACATGCTACATCCCACGGGACATGCACAATTCCATGGGACATGCGCAATTCCATGGGACTTGCTACATTCCACGAGACATGCTACATTCCACGGGACATGCTACATCCCACGGGACATGTCCATTCCATGGGACGTGGTTACATTCCACGAGACATGCTACATTCCATGGGGACATGCTACTTTTCATGGAACATGCCCCATTCCATGGAAAAGGCTACATTCCA